ACGAGCTCTCCCCCCCCCTCCACAAAAGTGCGACGGTACTTTTTCGGCTCTTTCTTATACAGCATGAGATTCTCCTAACGATTTTATCAGGAGGACTGTGAGAGCAGTGATCCTACCCTAGCGTCATCCCCTGGTACTTGTTTAGTGGGGAATTGCGAGGAGTACCGTGCGTTCCGCAACAGTTCCCTAGTCTTCAAATCTCTTCAACAACTTGCTGAGTCATTGCTGCACTTGCGCTATCTTTTCCGAAAATACTCATGAATACTTACCAATGCTCCTCTATTCAGGTTCTATTTTGAGAATGAAGGAATTTTCACGCCCTCACAAAAAGCTGCCTTGAAAGCAGTCACTCTCTCATGGGTTTTATGCGAAACAAGTGATGGGTAAGTAAAAACATATCAATGTCTCAATTTAAGGGTTTGGTTTACGCAAAAAGTGTGGGCGGAGTCAGCCCTACCAATGCGCCTCGTTCGTCGCCACACCGTATCAGAAAAACAAGCGCGCTCATCAAGAACGCGCAATGGTAGGCCTTTCTCCACCCACGCACTGAGCGTGGGCTGTGGATAGTTGCATTTGCTAGAAAAATGCAAAACCTTAAGATGAACTAGCAAAAGCCATCGAGCCTTCTCCTTTTTTAGAATGGAGAGAATCGTACCGAAAGCCTTTCACCGTCGACCGTGGACAGCAAGCTGTCGCCTGCTCATCACTGAAAAGACTCGACCTTTCCGCCTGGAAAGAATAGGTCACCTATATGGCAAATTCATCTGATCGCACTCATCCTTCAAAAAAGTGTTTCAGGTTGCTGCGGGCACCGCTTACTACCCAATTGCCAGGAGAGTCATTGCTCAGTCAGCCAATCATCTCTGTGCCAATAGTTTTACTTTCCATTATGTCGAGCTTTACTGTCTATATACATTCCAGGTACAGGTGCAATAAATATTGATATCATGCTGTGTAGGGAATGAGACGGTGGCCTCCAACATCATCATACTGCGAGGCTACGGCCCACTCAGTGCCGCTGTGGCGACAAGTAGCCATTTGAATGCCTAATAAGGATGACTGCTACGTTTGTTATTACCGAGGCAGTCGGGGTGTGTCAACGCAGCGTTGGTTTCGATGCTTTTTCATCCGCAACGATCGATGTAAAATGGGCCTTCGAAAAAAACCCATGCACAGCTGACACACCCCGACTGACTTTGGTGATTAAGGAGTGTACACTACAAGCCAAGAATGCGAGTCACATCGCTTAGCCCGACTTCGCTTGCTGTGGTTTCTCTTAGGGCGGGGCTTCCCAAGCATCGGCTTCTTACTACAGATCTAATTTCTGCAGTGTATGTTGCATGGCTGTGTGGGTAGCGGCAAGTGATCCCGCCTCTCCCAGGCTTGCTCCGGTGGCGGTCGACATCTCAGATCGACGCTTTCTCCTCGGCCAAACTAGCCGTCCCTGTGAATTGGTCAGCCAAGGGCAGTCCGGAGCATAAAACTGCTGACTCCTGTGGGTCACCTGGATCCCGGCAAGCAATTGGCCATAGAAACATTCATAACGCGCGCCACATCCCAAACGGAATAGGTCGACGGCAAAAGCTTTGTCCTTCTTCTATATAGGAAATATGAGTAAAACATGTCTGAAAACTAGAAACCGTGGCCTTAGTCCCTAGTAACCTTGATGGGGTGTTGAAGGGCTCCTTGTGGGAAACTGGGACCAGCGTCACCCGAATGGTTACCAATACTTGCTATTTCTTCACTCACCTCTACCCCTTTAAGGCATAGTCAAAAGCCTCATCGCCATTACGATAATTCTACTTATCCACGAGTCCTCTGAACGCCCCTCCAATTCTGTTAGCGCGGGAACTGGAACCCCGGTTAAGGAAAGGATAGCATTTGGGCGTGAAAGCTCTTGCGTTGCAAACGCCAATGATAGAAGACTTTAATATAAATCAGTAACAATATCAAGCGAACAACTTAGGGAAAGCCAACAGCCCAGCGATAAAGAACTTCTATGCCTTCTACCATCAACAGTGAAACACGGGTAGAAGGCCAAACAAGCGGCCAACACACATAACAAACCACATATAGCATTGAAACCGTCGCCAATATGGCATGCAAAAATCGTAATGACCGACTAGTTCGGCAAGGTTCGGTGAACACCGATAAGCTAAAGGCGATGATGGGTTGTTCATAGTGAAATCACACAGGGAAAAACCAATCCGATAGAAATCAGCGTACAACATTACGCTGATTATAGAAAAAATCCCGACAAGCTAAAACAACTAGTCCAATTCGTCCTCTCCCAACGGTGCTAATGTCTTTTGCGTATCGAGTGCTACCATAATTTGCTCTTCAACGAGCTCTTCAGCCTGCTTGTTGTCAGTATCCGTACCACCTACACGATAAAAATTTGTTAATTAACACTAATATTGTTCCATGGGTAAGAAAGACTGTTCAAACCTCTAAGCGATATCCTAAGCTCACGCTGAGCCGCGATTTTCTTGAGATTTCTTTGGCGAATCACATCGAATGCTGCCATTATCTTTCTGAAAAGATCATGTGAAACGTCATATGCCCAACACACTATTATTGGGACTGATTTTGTGGTGCCTGTTGGGAGCAGGGAACGTCCTGAGAATTGGCATCCTCCGCGGGGGGTCGTATTTGGTCCGTGAAGGGAGGGCGTCGTTCTCCGTCTGAGGAACTTCTTAAGTTGATTTTTTCGTTTCACGCGCGCTATTCACAACGAATTTGGGTAAAAGGTAGCAAGGCAGTGGGTAGGATGGAGAAGGAGGGGCGTGGTGGTAAAAAAGCAGGAAATCAGAGGAGGGGGGGGGGGTAGTACTCCCCAAAAAATTTCCCCAGCGAGATGTAGCATGCACGATATTCGCACCAGGACCAAATCGATTCAAAGCGCAAAGTCGAAGTCGAGCTAATCATAGTTATGAGCTCGTCATCGCAAGGTCAACCTTCCAACTTACACCCTTTGATCTAAAGAAGATGGAGGCGAAGTTCCCTCACTCACCTTCGCTTCTCAATAACTTCCTGGCTAGCCCTATTCTTCTCTTCGTTGTCTTCACGTTCGAAACGAACCGCTGTTTTCTTCAGGTTATTCTTGATCTCCTTAACAAGACTCATTTGAATACGGTTACAGTCCTGTTCCTGCGGATGCTGGGGCGTTTCAGAGGAGCTGGTTGGCTGGCAACGCCAGCCTGTTCGCCACCACATAAGGAAGCTGTTAGGCGACCACAAATGGAGGACAATCGGCTAGCGTCGCGTTAAATTCAGGCTCCCTATAACGCTTCAGCGCCCACAGATAACAAAACTGCAATCAATTTGAGGCGCTTTGTTCAGCAAAGGGTAATAAATCATGAAACTGGTATCAAAAACTGACCTTCAACTTCTGTTCACTTAATTTTACGGGTGGACGGGGACGCCATTTGAACTGGGATAAACGTTCCAGTGCTTTCCGGCAGAGTTCTCGACCCTAAAAATACACTAACATACTTGAGGGAATCGACACACAAGAGCCAGAAATAAGGAACGAACGGAAGAGGGGGGTCTTCTACACGGAAGTTACCTGGAAAGTATATAGCCTAAAACCAAGATCAGCTCCTATTCTTCCTCCGAGCGTCGAGCATGTCACGAAATATCGACCTGTTGGATCCCAGTATCCCTAAAAGTTTGACATCTTCAAATTGAGAAAAAGCATTTTCCAACTGTTCTTAAAGTATAGCATAGGACAAAGGTCAAGCAATAACATCAGCAGAAGTTAATGTGAACATTTGTGGTCCTGCCGCGAAAGGAGATAGATAGATAGATAGATAGATAAAGAGAGAGAAAGAGCAAACAGTTAACACAGAGGCTGCCAGAGCATCGAAAGGTGGGAGGAAAACATTAGTGCACTTCAGCTTGTTCTGGGGGGGGGGACTAAATGGTACCACGGTTCGATAGGCTAGCTTGTAAAAACATGTAAATTTGTGTAACCAGAAAGGCTCACTTGTACCATTTCGAAGCTTCGCAAGAATCTACAGATATCACCAGTGCGGGACCTGTTGGTGAACATGAACAAGCAAAAGAGAAGCAGCGAAAAAGCTAAATGCCCCCTCAATGCAAGCAGCGCCAAAACATGCTTACTCGTTGACAATTTCACAAAGGGACGCGGTGAACAACCTCTATCATTTGTGAAAAGTAGGAATGCGTGAGTTCTCCGTGGCCACAGAACAATTTAGAGAAGATGGAAAGGACAAGAGCAGAGTGTGGATGTGGTTTTTGAGTGAGTTTATACTTCGAGCCAGCGACGAGTTGACGCCGACCGCATACGGTTAACGTCGATCGAGTGCAGCACGTGCAAACGTGAAATATGAACGCGCTCTAAAAGGTTGAGCAAGTGCGGTCCGTAGACCCGAGAGTAAACTGGAACAGAACGACAAGCTGACCTTATTAAAGCCTGGGTGCTCTACAACATTTGTGCGCTTGGCTTCTTGCAAGGTTGTGTCGACAAACATTACATTACCACCATTCGACCGTTTCGCCAGTATAGCTAACCATCCACCATGAGGAGCCCACGACACCTAAATGCTCGCTGCTTGCCGATCCTCAAACCGACGAAAAAGCAAACGGTGTACCTCGTTGAACTGAACACCTGGATCCAATTTGCTCATCAATTTGGGTGCATGACTATTAGGTTCAAGACGATATACCAAAGGTGTTACTTTCGCCTGATTTCCAGTAAGAACACAGAACTTTTCGCCTAAACGACAATGAAGCTTGCTTGCTGTTAATCAAGAAACAGAAAACAAAACGAAGAAAAAGCAGCAGTGCTCATACCGTAAGGCTGCCAACCAAAGTTGATGAACGGTTCAGGAAGTGGCAGATTCATCAAAGAAACATCTTTCTTGTCAATTTCGAAGATTTCCAAATGGTACGTACATCCTCCTACATACTTCACTTCACCACCTTCTTTCATTTGCTTCTTCGAGTACCTGAAAGGGTTAACAAAGGATTTATATTAAAGCACATTCTCCGATTATCAGCGAAACAGCGGCAAGTAGCGATGGGGGTGGGCCGGGGTCAAATGAGTAAAATCTCTAACTTGTACACTGACTGGCCCATGGAAACATTTTATAGGGCAGTTAGCGCAACACTGACTGGTCCACGAAACATTTTTTTGGGGCGATTTGCATTTAATACTCAGAATGGACGTAGAGTGTTGAATGTCACGCTGCCGCACGGCAAGGTATGCTCCTACTCTCCCTGGGACGAGGGTCAGCGCGAACCCAGGTTAGTCAGATTCCTCTAAGGCTCATCCATATGAAGGAGCAGGCCAACTTGTCCCGCCTCGTGTCCACCCTCGACCATGGTAGGACCAAGAAGCTGTACACTGAACACACCCACCTCATAGTGTACACTGCAAGACGTTGACCACTCTTCTGCCAGAACATTTGAGCATCCGCAACGTTATGAATACGTCCTGACCTCAGCCTCTGTTGGTTAGGCATCTGCACCAATCCAAACTCAGCAGGAAGAGAGTCCGTGCACTAAAAAAAGAGGGAATAAAAACAATGAAAAAAGTAAACTCCGTTGAGAATATTCCTAAAAAACGTACTTCAGCATAATAGGAGAGAATGTTTTGCGTAGGGCACCACTGGAAGGTCTTGATATTTTCCACAATGATGTTGCGATGATCGACCAACGCGAATTTCTCGGTTTCAAAGACAGAAATACCATTGACCTAAGGTAGGGAACATTATGTGGGATAAATCAGCACTAGGGAGATTACATTAAACTACCTTCTTTTCCTTCTCGAGTTTGTCCTTTTCTGGAGCTTTCAAACAAGCGAAATATTTCTCATCGAAAGACCACCTGTCAAGGGAGAAAACCAATCAGAAAAGAAGAACAAAAAAAATAATATGAATGCAATAGCAATTCTGTAAGACCCAGATGAGATTTCTGCCATGTGAGTCGGGAAAAGAATTTCATTGAAAAGATGTGGCCGAACCCTTTACTGACCTACTTTTCCAAGTCTGGGTCAAAACCCCCATTTGTCGAGAAATTGGTCCTAGTGCACAGTTTAAACACAATCACAACATATGCTTGACACGCCGCCCTTGCGCAGCAATACGCCAAATCACCACTTGAAGATGACCTGCATGAGCTTTCAATGCCATTGAATCTCTTTGAGGAGATCTAGGTAACGAATTTCCGGTAGGGCCTCAGTAGGGCCTACTTCATGGGTGCCGGTCAAATAACTTCGCGCTAAATGGATGGGGTACTCGTAACCAGGAATTCAGACTACCCTCTCCCCTGAGCACAAGCATTCAGCGAATTTGAGGTGCTTCGTGTTGACGCTGGGACCGCACCAAATGCGATTGCTGTGTTTAAGCTAATTCTCTGGACAAACTTCCAGACAAATCTACTTCCGGGAACGAAAGTCGACAAATATCTGGCCTGTTCAAAAAGAATGAGAAAAGAAAAGATAAATAATTAAAGATCCAAAAAGAAACGCACTGGAAGAAAGGCCAACAAGGCAACTGATCGCGATTCGTGAGCGCATAGAGAGAATATCCCTTCAACATTTCTCCGGTCACAACGTCCCAGATACGAAGACAGTCCTCGTCATCACCCCAGTGATTTTTCTCAGCAGATTCAGCATACGTCACCAAATACCTGGACAGATTACATCACATGCAACTGATAAATGCAGGAAGTTACCTCAAAACCTACGTTTCACAAGGAGAAAAATCGATAAACTGCACGTTGTGGTGGGCAAATCGTTGGACTCGCGCGAACTCTGGTCCTCCCCACAGGGCCACTCCACGTTTGTGAATAGTGGTCAAATAAGAGCCATGAGGTGACCATTTAAAGACGGTATCAGTCCAGGACTAAAAAGCTAGGAATGCGAAATGAAGTTCACAAGGAATGTTTGAAACGTACCGCTCTTTCAGCTTTTCCTTGTTCACCAGCAAAGACATGGAAAGCAATTTCAGGGTCATGCCCCTTTATGTGCCAATAGCATGCCACAGTTGGTACGCCATCCTTTTCGTACTGTACTGCGAACTGATCGCGACATCGAGGATGTTGCATCCACCACCAAAGATCCCCCTGTAAAATTCTAGTATCCTCTGTACACTTTGAAAAACAGTCAATTACATGAAAGAGATTTCGCAGTACGTGAATTGCCGCTATCGTAACCCAGCTCTTTGCAGGAACCCTTTCCCCATCTCGGCTCAGGGCGAGCGCTTAGAGAGGCATTCGCGTCACCAACATGAGGGAGTCTATGTTGACGTGAAACGATAACACGCGCGTTCCGAGGAACGGGTTTAAGCGCGTTCATCACATCGCGGCAGCTCTTATACAGAAGCGTCTGGCAGCTTTTCTTGAGGCCACTTAGGGAAAGTAACACGGTATCAAATCCAGGCAGTATTTTTGAACTATACCTAATACCACGCATTTACGCAAGGCGTTTAGAGCTACTAAGAAAATATAACCATCAATTATAACTGAGAAAATGTTGACAGACGCACAAAACACTGGATCGATATCTATACTTCCCCAGTCGCTCGAAGCGCTCGAAACGCCGAGAGACGCCTCAAAACGCTTCCGCAAAATATGAGCACTCTCCGGTATATTAAATTGTTGCACAAGTTCTTTCCCCCGACTTCTTTGGAAATATCTCAATAGCGAACCAGCCTGAAGATTAGAGGTATGCACCGTCACCATCCATTACTCGACGGCGGTTTCGTGTACCAACGCTGCAGGCAGCTTGTCGATTCCATCGTCCCAGAAGGAGGGGGCTGGGACCCGAAGAAGGCCACAATGCCGCACAATCACCACTGTGACATGGTTTTGCACTGGTAATTGTGCGGCATTGTAGCCTGCAAATGCAGGGTGGGTGAGTGATAGCTAGTGTGGTGAAAGAGTATCATGTACACGTCACGCACACGTGATGACGAAATACCAACCTCCATGCAAACGAAATACGGAAGGATCAAACAGGGAGGGGGGGGGGAAACTTAATTCAAGCAACCTAATAGTAATTAAGGTCGCCCTATTTTTGGAAACTAAACCAGTAGGAGAATATTACGGCTAGCAGCTGGTCTCTCGGACTGGCGAAAACTTTCAACGAATAAATTAAGGCAAACTAATTGATTAGAAACATTACCACATCATTATAAGGATTCGGTTTGGGTGGCTGCCAGTCCTCTGGCGGTTTTTGGAAACTTCGAGCTTCGTTGAAGAGTAGGGCGGAGAAGACGTGATTTTTGTCCAGCTTGTATCCATTGAGAACACCTTTTGCGTATTCTGCTTTCACCTTAATCGGGGGCAGAACTCAAATGAATAGCACCAACCCGTAAATGATTCCATTAAATACAATGGTCACTGAAAAACGATAGGGCGTGCAACAGGGGGCAAATTGCAAGACGGCAGAGCGGACTTTCTCCACCAATGCATTTTGTATCCGCTACCACAGGTGGGAGATCTGCCCTGATCCCCAGGTCACGCTGCGTCACATGCCCTATCGTTTGCACGGATCTTAGCTGTGCTTGAATTGTCAACCGTTTCGGATAAACTTGCCTTGCTTCCTCCATCCTCCGAAGGTGGGAAATATGCTTTGTGATCTGGCTCGACATTAGTGAAGACTTTGCTAAGCACAGTGCGTAACTTAGCAACTCTCTCAGGACCAACTATAGGAAGCCCAAAAATAATCAAACAGCACTCTTCGTACTCGTCCATTATTGAAGGTTTTCTGCCGCAAAACGTCCATGACAAGTTCTGAAAAGAACCTTTCAAAATGTATAGCTTTACGAATTTCAACATCTTCGTCACTTCATTTTTGGTTTAATTGTTCTTTCTAGGAGTATTTCCTAACAAAAGGGGTGCGGATTAAAAAGAATCCTATACATGTTGAACAAAGTAATAAAAATGGAGTAAAAATCATAAAGTACCCTTCATCAGTGGGGGAGTGGGTGACGTCATCGACGAAGTCCTCTGGATCAGAGAAGTTGGGCTCCTCTTCATTCTCTTTATTTACGTCTATTTCAACCATTATTGTAAAAACGTCGCCAGAGCCACAAACTCGACGGTTACCTATACATAAAAACAGACATTAAAAAATGGTAACTATTAGGTTGTCCGGAAAGTTCTTCAGCGTGTTGTTTCACTATTTTTTGTACACTCACTGCTGATTGAAAACTCATTCTCCTCTTGCGTCTCAGTAGTACATCCTGAAGAGAATTTTTTGTGCTACATGACGGTATAATTGCTGTTTCACCATTGCTTGATAAACCCCCTTTCCCAAGACTTTTTGAAGCATGTCAAAAGAGCAACTTCGGACGATATTTTTCTTCAACTACAAATTGGGTCAATCCGCAGTCGAGACAGCTCGACAAATTAACCAGGTGTGGGGTCAGTAGTGTTAGAGAAAGCACCGTGCGACAATGG